GGGGTCTAGCACATGCTAGGCAAATGCTCTACCACTGAGCTACACCCCAACCACTTTGTAATTTTAAGATAGGGTCTCACTAAGTTGCTGAGGCTGGCCTGAAATTTGTGATCCTCCTGCCTCAGCCTCCAAGTAGCTGGGATTATAGGCATACGCCACTGCACCTGGCTTGTTTTACCTTTATAAAGCTGAAAGTTTTGTGAGAATTTTTGGTTCTTGTTGAATGTTCAAGAATGCAAATTTCAGTAACATACCCTCAGTTCTTGGTCATTTGTTGGTTGCTTAGGTCATCTTTAGTTTTTGTTGTTGTTGTTATTTTTCCCTTGTGGAACTGGGAACTGAACCCAGGGGTGCTCTACCACTGGGCTCCATCCTAGCCCTTTTTGTTTTGAGACAGGGTCTTGCTGAGTAGCTCAGGGTGGCCTGGAATGTGCACCCTCCTGTCTTGGCTTGCATGTCACTGGGATTGCATGCTGTGCCATTGTGCCTGGCTTGACCCCCATTTTCCTATGTGAATTTTTTTTTAAAAGTTTTTTAATTTTAACGTTTTTAGTTGTAGTTGAACTCAATACCTTTATTTTATTTATTTATTTTCTATGTGGCTCTGAGGATCAAACCCAGCGTCTCGCACATGCTAGATGAGCCTTCTACCTCTGAGCCACAATCCCAGCCCTCCTGTGTGAACCTTTACTAGGATTTTTGATTGTCTTGTTATAATAAACCCTTAGGTGTGCAGTTGCAGAGTCTGCAGGACTGGAGTCTTGGCAGTGGTTGATGCTTCTGGCCATCTCCCCCTGCGGGTAGAGGGGTGTCCAGGCTGCTGCTGTGCAGGGTGGCTGTGGCAGATGGAAGCTCAGCCTTTGTGGCTGGCCCTGAGGGCCCTCACGTGGCCTGTGTGGGGCAGGCAGATGTGCTTCTGTAACCACAGACAAGGCTGAGGCGTCTCTCTCTCAAACTTCAGGGATTCTGTGGTCAGAAGCCGTCTTCCTGGAGGCAAGGCCCCAGAGGAAGACCAAGAGTGTGGACGCCCTGAAGAAGTGTGAGCATGACCCCCATGTGCTGCTGGCTGTGGCCAAGTGAGTGGGTGTCCTTTTGGGTTACTGGCCTTGGGTGCCAGTGGGGTTTTGGCGGCACGGCTGCCTCTCCCTAGCTGTGCCAAATGAGCAGGCAGCAGGGTGGGCCATCCTGGTCCTCAGCTGGGAAGCTTTTGCTTCTGTCTTCTGGGGCAGTGTATCTCCTGGCAGAGTCCCACAGCGTGCACTGTCCAGTCACCTGGACTTCTGTCCAGGTCAGTCCTTCTCCTGGGCCTTCTGGTTGCTTGAGTTCTCCTGCATTCCTGGGTGTCCTGTGGGCTGTACTGCATGTGGCCTGAGTCACTCAGCAGAGACACATCTGCTAGCGTTGGTCCACCCTTTGGCTTAAGGGGCTTCATTATGTCAGAGCAAGAAATCATGCACTTGTGGCTCTATGGTCTTGGGATCAACCCCAGTCCAGTCTGCAAGCCTAAGAGCGTGGAGGTGACTGACTAGAGACAACCTCTCAGAGCACATGGTCTTCAGGGGAAGAAGGAGTCAGGGAGGGACCTCAACACGTGGTCGACGCTGCTTTGTGGTGCTAGGTCAGAGGCTGCGCCTGGGAGGCGACTGGAGCCTGAAGGACCTCAGGATGATGGCACCAGGTTTTGGTCAGAATGTGCTGTGCCTTGAGAGCCATCCTGACCCCACAGGCGCTCTGCTTCCTTCTAGAAAGGATTGGGCTGGGTGTGGCAGAAAGGCCAGCAGGTGACTGTGCAGATGGGACTGAAGAGGGTCTTCAGGGAGGATTATAGCTGCCCCAGGGAGGTGTTTTGTGTTCTCCAACCCTGGTTTGTTTTTTTTTTTTTTTTTTTTTTGGTTCTGGGGATCCAAGAGCCTTGTATATGCAAGGCAAGCACTCTACCAACTGAGCTATATCCCCAGCCTTCTTCAACCCTGTAGTGATGCTTAGAGGCAGAGCCTTCTTGGGACTGGCCTTTACTCTGCTCCAGGTGGCAACGGTCTCCAGGGTCTGATGTGGCGGCCCTTTACCTGTGCCCCTCTTCAGCTCCTGGGCCCCTGCTGACAACGGAGGCTTCTCAAAGCCTGGCTAGTACCTGCCTGGGCTTCCTCCTCCCAGAGTGACTTATATGTGGCCCTCAGATAGGGCAGCCATAAAAACCTTATAAAGGCTTTGCTAAAGTAAATAAGTCACTCCTTGCTGTTCTGATATCTGAGTTTGCACTCTTTAAATCACAGTTTATCTAACACCAAGCAATTAAGAGTGCCACACGGCTTAAAAAACAATCAGGTTATCAAATGTGAAGTTACTCCGTATGGTACCTGAAACTGGCCCAGACGGTAGTGGAGTGGAGGCCACTGTGCTGGCAGCTGCTTGGTGCCTGTGTTGTGGGGTGCTAAGCTGAGGGGTGGTGGGAGCAGCCCCGAGTCCTGGGCCTGCCAGAGTGCCCACCATCTAGCATGCCCTGCACCAGTGGGAAGGAGGAGGATGCTCATGAAGACCCTGATCTGGCTTTTGAGGATCCACATGTGTGGACCCTGTTCGGCCTGGCTCTTGGTGTCTGCATGCCTGGCAGACACAGCAGCCACTGTGCTGTAGTCCTGGGGCTGGGAGCTACAGCCCCAGCAGGAGTCTGGAAGCCTGCCTTCATAGTATTTGCTTAGTTTGCTGCCTGGAGCTGGATAGGCAGCAGATATCCGTCTGAGATGACAGTTTTCCCAGTCATCCTGACACTTCTTCTTTGTTTGACCTGGAGGAAAGGAAGTTTTCAAGAGTTGGGAGTGTTGAAGGAGCAGTGTGATTAGATGCTTCAGGACAGTTGTGGTTGATGACCCAGATGCTGCCTAGGCAGTCCAGGACCACTGCTCAGGCCTTCCCACGGCATATGCCAATGTGGGTGCAGATGGGTAGGGGAGCCTGGGGTCACACTGCCAGTCACTGCCTGCGCTGGGGTGTACCCTCCCTCTGAGTCCTCCTGCCCTCCTGCCACAGGCTCTTCTGGAGTGAGCGGAAGATCACCAAGGCTCGGGAGTGGTTCCACCGCACGGTGAAGATTGACTCCGACCTGGGGGACGCTTGGGCCTTCTTCTACAAGTTCGAGCTGCAGCATGGCACTGAGGTGAGGCCACACAAGCCAACCAGTGTGCCATGCCTTCTTGTCTGTCCCCAACCCTCTGGTACTATAGGGAGCTCCGCCAGCACCCCTCAGTCCTGGGTCTGGAGAATAGGGTTGGGGCACAGTGATTAACTGATCACAGTTGTTTTCTTATTATAGCCTGAAATTTATTTGCTTGGTTCATTTTAAGTGGTCTGTTATTTTGTTTTGTTTTGGTTCTGGGGATTAAGCCCAAGGGCAGTTTACCACAGAGCTACATTCCCCATTCTTTATTTTTTATTTTGAGATATGTTGCTGAGAGTCTTGCTAAGTTGCTGAGGTTGGCCTGGAACTTGGTCTTCCCACCCCATCATAGGCATGTGCCACTAAGAGATTGGCCCTGTTAGCATATTTTGAGTTGTTTAGTGATTGATGGGGTTTTGAGTCTCCTTAGAAATGAGACTGGAATTGGTTTGTCCTCTTAGGCCTAATCCAGGGGTGGTATTCCAGGGGAGCCTAGACAGCAGCCCCTCCCCAGCCAAGCCTTATCAGAGCCATATCCATGGGGTAGTCACCAGGGTGTCCTGGGGTCTTCCCCAGAGGTAGCAGGCAGACTACTTTGAATCTAGTGAGTGCCTTATTCAGACAGTGGACCAGGAGCCTGACTTAGGTCGGCACACAACCACGTTGGCTGGGTCTGGGCTTCTAACAGTGGGGAGAGGCTGTCTTGAGGGGCCCAGCTGAAGGCTCACCCTGCTTATCCTGGAGCCACATGGGTACCTGCCCTGCCCACAAGCTGGGACCAAGTCTGCAAAGGGGGTAGGTGTTGGACAGGCAAGGCTTGAGACGTCCCAGGAGAAGCCATGCCTGAGTGCTTTGTGGTCCCTTCTGCAGGAGCAGCAGGAGGAGGTGAGGAAGCGCTGTGAAAACGCAGAGCCCCGGCATGGGGAGCTGTGGTGCACCGTGTCCAAGGACATCGCCAACTGGCAGAGGAAGATTGGAGAGATCCTGGTGCTGGTGGCTGCCCGCATCAAGAACACCTTCTGATGACCCAGTCTGGGGCAGGGGTGGGACCATAGGTGGCTCATGGATATACATGGGCAGGGTTGACTCTCTGCCCAACGTTCATTAAAGATCTTCATGTCGTGGGTAAGGGTGGGACCTGCTGTCTTGTGCTTTTGCAGCCCCACCAGCCTCCCACACAGGTACGGGGTGGTCCTAGTTCCTCTGGTTGGGGCAAGGCCTCTTGCAGACACCTGTATCCTACAGAGGAAGCATAGTGGGGTGCCAGGGCTTGTTGAGGTTTTGTGGAGAAGGTAGTGGAGTCAAGACTCTGGAAAAAGTGGAGACACTCGGTCACCAGTCTGTAGCACAGGTTGGAGGCCACATAGGGACTGAGCTGTGAGTAGGGGAAAACACTTACAGGAGCCCCCATGGTCACATCCATATGGTCAGAGACTTTCCCAGCTGGGGCCTCCTGGAGTGCTGAGTGTACCCAGCAGAACCTGCCTGTGCCCAGGCCTCTCGGTGCTGGCCAGGCCCTGTGGAGATGTCCCCCATAGGAGCTTGTCTTGCTTTTGCAGGAAAGTCTGCTTTTGCTAGTTCATGATTAGCAGTTTTATCCTGAAGCACTGTGCCTGTCCTCATTGTTAGATGGAATTTTGTATTGCAGAGACATGACTTCTTTCAGCCTTTCTGCTCTGTGGGGATAAAAAAAATTCTTGGACCTTGAATCTATGTGTGTGTGTGTGTGTGTGCGCGCGCGCGTGCGCACACATGTGCGCATTCAGTTGAGAAATAGCTCTCAGGAGTGGTGTGTAGCCCATGCCAGGTGGCTGGCTAGAGAAAATGGCTGTTCTGGAGGGCAATGGACAGTCTTCCACATTGGCCCAGCAAGAAGATAAAGTGCCTCTGGGGATGGTGAAGGACAGCCTCTGAGCCTCTGACACCTACTTCCTGTAGAACAGCTGTTCTCCAGTCTTAAGTGGTGCACCCCAGGGGGCTCCACATCTCTTGTGCCTGTAGCAAGGCCTGCAGTGGTAGTCACAACACAGCTCAGCCTTCCTGCAGACAGGGCCCTGCTGGCTTGGGGTGCCTCTCCCCCTCCTCCCAGGTGAGAACAGGGAGCCCTAAGGAGTGCTGGCCACAGGACCTCAGCTTCAACTGTGGGCATCTGGGGTGGATGAGGCCGTGCTGTGGAAGCCATGGGCCCAACTCGAAGATAGCAGGCAGGGACCATCTTCAGCATCTTCAGGGTGGAACCAGAGATGCTGGTTGTTTGGTACCAGGCAGTCATATGGATGTGCCAGCTGACCTGTGACCTGTGAAGTTGTGGTCAGTTGTTGCTGCCCTGTCCTGAGGGGTGGCCACAGAGCTGCTTCTTGTCTTGCTGGGAACTTCAGAAGCAGCCTTGGATTCACTGTAAGCAGCCTCCTTTATTGGTGGGAAGGGGCAAGGTGGCCTCTACTTTGAGTGGCCTGTCCCTTTGGTTCCTCCGGGGAAGAGTGATTGGCATGAAACTACATACAAGGCCCTTGGAAGGTTCCAGAACACCTGCATGTCCTGAGGTGCATCTTCTCATCTGCAAGGGGATGGCTTTCTCGCGTGTCACCAGCTTCCCTCCCTGGGAGGCTTAATGTACCTTTTCTTCAGCTGAAGGTTTTTAGCCCAGACTGAAGGTAAGCCATGTTCCAGAGGCAGAGCAGCAGCCCCTGCCCATGAGAGGCCCCTTCAGTCCAGGAGGAGCAGGCTGGGCCAGCAGCATGGGAGTCTGGGAAATCCCAGATCTTGACCTGCGAGGGCAGGACTTCCTGGGAGTTGGTACAGGGGCTTGTAGTCATGGGGCAGGGAGTTGAGTCCTGCACATCAGATTCTGTCAGCCAGTTCCTGGGAGGGGCAGCACTTGGTGACCACTGAGGGGGACCCCAGTCAGCCTTGCCCACAGCTGGGCCCTGCTCACTAAGCACCCTCACTCCTTGACGAAGTGCAAAGTCTCCCTGGGGCTGACAACTCCCTGTGGGTCAAACCAATACCCTCAGTCTCTGAGCACCCTGGCCTGCGGGACAGGCCACAGTGGGCTCCAGGGCCAGACTGACTGAAGCAGCGGGGTAGAGGCTGGGAGAGGGAGGGGCAGGTTGGCTGTGGGCCTCTCTTTCCCTCTGCCTGTCTCCTCCCTCCTCTGCTGGAGGAGCCAACTTCAAAAGCCTCTCCGCCTGCCCTGCAGCAAGGCAGTCCTGTCCAGGGAGCCCCGTAGGCTGGTGTTGGACCTGGAGCAACTGCCAAGTGCCAGCTGCATTTACCACCATAGACCCAGGACCATGTGCGTGGTCGGCTGGAGGGAGTGAGGGAGGGCAAGACCCTGATTGACCAATGGTGAGCAGCTGGGCATGGGGGGGTGGCTGGTGTAGGCGGGGGGGGGGGGTGGCTGGTGTAGGCGGGGGGGGGGGGGGGGGGGCTGGAGTGCGCATTGGCCCTGGAAGAAGCCACTAGTGGTTCCCAGCAGCTCACAGCATTGGGACCAGCTTTTGAGTGCATGCACCACAGCCTTCCTGGAACCCTTTCTTCCCATGCTAGGCTAAGCCTGCAACTCCCTGGGTAGCCAGCCTGTCCTTCCAGCACGTCCCACTGGCCTGTCCTGAATTGGATGTGCTGCACTGTGACTGCAGTCCATAGAAGGTTTAAGCCCTCAAACAGTTGACCATGGTGTGTGGTGGGCCTCAGGAAAGGGCACAGTGAACTGTCTGCTCTTCTGATTCCTGCTTGGTGCTGTGGATAGGAGCCCCCCCCCACTTTAGATGAAGTTTGGGTACATGCAGTCAGACTCCCCTGCTGGGGCTGGGAAGCAGAGTCGAGTCCTGTGGTCCGGCTGGGTTCACATGATTAATTTTCCAGCCCGGGTCGGCTGTCTTGACTCTAGCCCTGACTCTAGCCTGAGGGCCTGGGAACCGTGGATTGTCTTCTTGATGCTTGGGTTTCCCCTGAGAGCCAGTTCCCACCCCCACCCCTGTTCTGGGTAGGAAGGGACCTGTTGGCTGACTGCTTGCAGTATGATATGGTGGTTCCCTTTCTCTCCATCATCTTTGGGGGTTTCTCCAGCCTTTCCCTTTCCAATGAGGTGTAGTTTGCAGCTCTGAGTCTGCCTCTCTCTAGGTTGACTTGGGGTGTGCGTGTGAGGACCCTAGTTCTCATGGCTCTGTGAGCTGGTTAAAGCACAGCCATGGGTAGAGGGTGGGAGCCACCCCGTCACACAGGGCAGAGTGGTTCTACTCCACCCTCTGGGATGGCAGAGCTTCAAGTGGTGCCTATTCTGTGGGCATCCAGAGGGGATGAGGTGGGGGACTTGGCAAGAGGAAAGCCTGATCCAAGTGGTAGATTGTAGCTGGTGGGTATGGTCCTGACCCTGGCCAGGAGTGAGGCTGTGCCCTTGCTGTGCAGAGCCCCTAGACCCTGCCCTCCAGCCTTGCAGGGGGTCCATCATCGTCTGTCTTTCCCAGATAACCACAGCATCTGGCCCTGTTTTGGAATAGCTCCTTTATTTTCTTGGTCCTTCAGGGATCAGTGGAAGGTGCCCCACCCCACCCCACATATACCCCAAGGTCTTTTTGCACAGAGCTGTCTGGTTTGCAGGCCTGTCTAGTTTCTCCATCCTTGAGACAGGGACTTATCCTTTCAGACCTGTGTCCAGAGGCTTTGTTGGACAATGACATCTGTTTTATACCAGCTCAGATTGGGGCAGGGGTACATCTTCTCTGGTAGCCCAAAGTGCCTAAAAGGATGCCCCTTGTACTGGAAGGCACTCCATAGGCTCACATCCCAAGCCCAGACCTGGTGTCCCCTCCAGGTGCCCTCCAAGCCCACACTCTGCGCCCTCCTGCTGGCACTGCTGTGGTTGGTTCCTGACTGGGCTAGGCCCAGTGCCTGCAGCGTCCCAGAGGTGCTCCGCCACTATCGCGCAGTCATCTTCGAGGATCTGCAGGCGGCAGTGAGACAGTTGGGGCCAGAGCCAGGCTCTGGATACCACCATCTCCTTGAGAAAAACCTAACTGGAATGGGCGGAGGGCGGAGACGACCTAGTGTCTCCTGCGGTGCCCAGAAGGTATGGAGTAGGTGTACCCCATCCACCTTCCCTCGCCCACCTACACCTTCCCTCGGGACCTCCCCTAGGACTCCCTGGCCCCAGCTTTCCTTCCCTCCCCAGGAGCACAGTATCCTTCTGTCCATCGAGTCCCTGGGCCAGACTCTGCGCCGGGCAGTGACTGGGGGCCGCCGTGGTTCCCTGGAGAAAGCTGCATGGACTGTGGCCCTACGCACCGAGGCGGTGATGAGGCGCCACTGCTGGAAGCCTCGCCAGGTGTGTGTCCCTAGTGCATGCCCCTCCCCGCCACAGAGCTGCCCTTCGGTCCATGGCTCTCCCAGCTGGAGGCTCACTTCCGGCCCACTGGGCGGGCGCATGGTCAGGGTGCCTTCACTGAGCATGGGTCTTGGACAGCAGAGCCGGCGGCCCAGGATGCGTCCTGTCAGGCGCCGCGGTGGTCGGAGGCGGCTCCTGCTACGTGCCCTGGACACCGTCGCCACCTGCTGGGAGAAACTCTTCGCGCTACGCGCCACGGCCACCGGGGAATCCTAGTCGGCCTGCCCTGCCCCCCGACCCAGCAAAAAACTTGGGGATCCGCGCGGAATCAGGGAACAAGCCTCGTTTGATTGATGTCCCGATGGCAGCCTCTTCTCTCTCAACCAGCCTGCCCTCTCCGAGGGCCCGGGACTTGGAGAAGCGAGCCATGGCGGGTCCCGGAGGTGGCCCGCCCTCAAGCACCGAGCGAGGCCCCAATAAATGGAGTTGGTGCTATGGGTCTGAGTCTTTCGCTGGTCAGGCTGTGGGGCCCTGGGCCACCCATGGTATGCTCCTCCGTGGCAGGGCCAAGGGATTTGAGCTTCCCTCCACACCTGGGCGCGGGCTGCAGGGGGCGCGCGCGGGGCACTGGACGTGGCTCCCTGTGAGCCGAGCTGCTGGGTGGGGCACTTGCAGCCCGTTGGGGGCTGTAAAACGTCAAATATCCGTCCTGCTCCTTTCTGGACCGGAGGCGGGAGGTGGAAATGGAGGGGAGGGGAAGCTAAGCTTGGTGAGTTTGGAGCAAAACAACCGGATAAAGGAAACAGGTCTGAAGGGAAACCAGCACTGCCGCCCCTGGCCGCGAGCTTGGCCAGGCCATTTCCTGCGGCCTCAGGGGGGTGGTCACTGCGGGGGGCCTCCAGAGACTGCCCCAGCCCTGTCCGCGGACCCGCCTGGCTGGTCCCTAGTACCGCCCCTAGCCCATGGGAAAGAGAGGTAATGCCCATGGGCTGGGCGCCTGCCTTTGCTCTGGAACAGGAGGAATGGAGGCAGGCCTTGCCCTGTGCCTGTAGGACATGAAGAGACTGGCCTTGGTGAGGCAATCAGCCACGAATCCCATCCCCACCAGCTCCCCATCACACACGTTGGGTCTTCCAAAGGGAGCTGTTGTCCCTGCTTCACGGGTGGGGAATCTGGGGCCCAAATCACACAGGAACTGTAAGAGCTGGCTCTACCCCACCAAAGCACTGTGGACAGGGGGCGGGGCTTCCTGGACTTCAGGACTAAAGATTCAGACCTGTTAACAGTCTTCCAGGCCACCTCTGAGCACAAGTACAGAACAGTCCAGACCTGCTTTCTGCATTGTGTGCTCCATGGGGGTGGTGTGGGCAAGTGCTAGAGGTGTTGAGGTGGGGATGCCAGGCATGGCCCAAGTGCTGGAACCTACCTGGGGCTTCCTGCACCTTAGATGGGAGCCTACAAAGACCCAGGCCTGTGTGTAGATGGGTGCCAGACATGAAGGGGTAATGAAGGAGAAGACATGAAGAAGACCCTGGGATCCCAGGACATGGAGGAAAGCCTCCTCTTGCATTGGGGATGATAGCGGGGAAGTGGAGGGAGTTCAGCAGCATGAACCTGGGCTGAATGTGACTCCCTTCAGTGACCTCTGCTTTACATACTCAAGTGTGGCCAAGTCCAGGTGGGGAGAAAAAGTTCCAGTTTGTTGGAGCATAGGGTGTAGTGCAGCATGACCAGGGCAGTTAAGTGGGGGTTTGGAGAAGGTCAGTAGGAACTGGGAGGTGTGTCTGGGCTGGGTGCAGGGACAGGATGAACAGGCTTAACCAGGGCTCTCTTGGACCCATTTTCCCCACCCTGGGGAAAGCAAGAGCACTGCTGTAATAAACAGCTGGGAGTCAGCTCTGAGTGTTCCACCATTGCTTCTACCTGCCCACAGTGACCCCCTGTTCAGAGCAATCTGGCTGGGAAGGTGGGTGGGCAGCAGGGCAGCTCCCCGCCCTTGTGACTGAGGAAAGATGAAACAAACCACAGTGTTCTGGGGGCTGGCTGGAGGACAGGCAGAAACCTCAGAGTTTTGGGGACACAGGTTGATGCCTGAGTTCTTGGGCCAATGGGAGAGAAGCCCAGTCCCATAGTTCCTCTGTAGGGGGTATGCCAGCATCAACCTGGGGGAGAGGGGCTTCAATCCACTGTAGGTCTTTTTCTTTTAGAGCAAGACCAGGTGCACAGCCACACCAAGACTCAGAGCTGCCAAGACATGGAGACCAGAGGAGAAGCTGGGTGCCTGCTTAGACCCTGAGAAGCTGAGCTCTTCAATCTCACCATGGGGACCCCAGGGGCAGCTTCCCTGTATTCTGTTTGTAGCTCTGAGAGGACAGGTCATGTTGTCCTCACTCTCATCTGGCACAGACCAGCAGCAGGAGCTCTTCCACAGACATTTGCTGGCTGGAATTAACCAGAACCAGCCCAGAGATGCAGGGACTCAACCATGTATGGGGCTGGAGCCTGCATACAGTCTTGCTCTGTCTCATGCATGCCTTCTCAAGGCTCAGCTGTTTCCAGGGATGTAGGAGGTATGGCCCCGAAGGAGGGGGCTGTGCCAGGGTGGCAGATGGGGCCTGCAGGGCACTGGCTAGGATTGTGCAATTTACTGCAGCCCAGGAGCAAGGCCTCCCATGTGCAGCACTGGGAGGAGGGGGCCTGGCAGGCTTTGAAGGGAGCCTGGGTTCCATGGCCTCCCAGACTGGGAGCCTTTGAAAGAACATCTGGAACTTGGGCAACAGGCAAGCCAGTCTCTGGATTTCCAAAACCAAAAGTTAATCCTGACTTTGCCACTTGTGTGTTCCCCACCCAGCCCCACCTCCCACCTCTACCTCTACCAGGGTGACAGCTGCAGCCTCTTGTGGACTGAGGCAGCACCTTCCCCCGCATCCCACTACCCACCACCCAGCCCAGGATTGTTGCTGAGCTGAACAAGGGAGGGATGGGAAAGATGAGGGCTGTCTTCTCTGTGACCCCTTTGCATGGAGACTCAGCCAAGCAGACTCTGGGCAAATAAGCTCTGCTGCATGCCTGGTGTGGGTGCTGAATGGGCTCAGGGCTGCAGCCCAGGCAGGGAGACCAGGGAGGAAACACCTGCTCCCAGACCTGGAGGATGCCTGGCTTTGTGGGCTCTTGGCCCTTTCGTGTGAGTGTGAGTGTGGGGTCCCAAGACCTGCAGGTGTGCAAGGAGGCTGCCTGCTCCAGCTGTGGTGGACTTGGAACAAACAACCCCCACCCCAGGAAGCACATACTCACTGGGGGCCAGTGCCAGGTGCTGAGACCCATTGTCCCTGCCAGTGGCCTTCAGGACCTTGGGGGAGGCCCAGGGAAAGCCGCCATCCTGCCCCTCCCCAGGAAAAGACTCAGTTTTGTAAACACAGAAACAACCATTCCCTCCATTAAAATCCGGAAGAACCAGCAAGGAGGTCGCACCTGCTGTGGGAAGTGAGTCCTTGCTTGGGGGAAATTAAACGGTCAGGCCCTCAGGGGCTGGTGGTGGGACACCATGGGGTCAGAGGCGTCTCCTGGGGACATCTCCTGACCGTGTTGACTGGACTCTGCTCCTATCTGCGGAGGGACTTCAGTCCGAAGTGCCCTGGGGGACTCGTTGACATCAGTGTCCACCTTGTCGCTCCCTGACCCCCGCATGGCCTAGTTGTGGCGCTGGGGAGAGGCCGCCAAGGCTCCCTGCCAAACGAATAGCCCTGTCCTTGAGCTGCCCCAGGCGCCCCCTGCCCGGCGTGAGGCCAGGGGTCGAGGCTGCGGCCCGAGATAAGCACCGCTTCCTGCACTCGCTCCCAGCGCCGCCGCGCGACGCTTCCTGTTTTCTCACGCTGGCGGAGGGGTCGTGGGAGACGGGGCGCGCCGAGAGGCGGGGTCCCAGGGAAGGGACACCCGGGAGAGCCGCGCTAAGGGGTGCGCGGTGCCCTCTTGCCTACCCTAAGCACATGCTGGGCCCCGAACCCCTCCCAGGTTCTCCTCCTGGGCCCTCCTCCGTGGACTGGTTCGCAGCAGGGTTACAACAGCCAGAGGCTAAAACCGCTGGCGAATAGGAAAAGTGGCACCACGCAGACTATGAGCAGCGAGAAGGAATGACATTCAGTCGTACGCTACTACAAGGGCGGTGCCCGCACCTTGATTCCACATACAGCCGCCCCTTATAGGGCACACTTCCAAGACCGCAGGACTGCCTGAGTCTTCAGCCCAATACTGAGTCCTGTGCACTGCTTTCTCTAGACAGGGACCTATGATAAGGGTTAATTCACAAATTAAGCACATTGAGACCGACAACTGATAATATAGAACAGCTACAACATTGCTATAAGAAAAGTATGTGAATGTCTTCTCTCAAGATACCTCATGCTGTGCTCACCCTCTTCTTGTTAATCTTAAGTAACAAAAAGTGATTGGGTGGATAAGGGGAGTAGTGTGTATGAAATGTCCAGAATGAGCAAATCCATAAGATGAAAAGCAGGTTAGAATTATTTAGGGGCAGGGCATGGGAAAAATGGAGAATATTGGGTTTCTTATGGGGGTGGGGGTGATGAAAAAGCTCTAAAATGAGGCAGTCATAATGGTTCACAACTCTATGAATATGTCATGTAGGCTGGGCTCAGTGGTGCACACCTATAATCCCAGTGACTTGCAGGGCTGAGGCAGGAGGACTGCAACTTTAAGACCAGCCTCAGAAACCCTGTCTCAAAATAAATAAAAAGGGCTGGGTATGTAGCTCAGTGGTAGAGCACCCTTGGGTTCAATCCCCAGCATCACAAAATAAAATGTGTGTGTAGGTTTTGTAGAACGTAAGTTAAGTGGTTGAGTTTTCTAGTGTCCAGGTGAGTGGAGGAGGAGGAGGACATAGACTCCAAACACACCTGCCCCCCTTGTCTGCCCCAATGTGTATCTTCAGGTGGCATGTGTTGGTGTCCTTAGGGTGCTCAAGGTAATAAGCATGCCTGCTGGGGACAGAAGTGCACCTTATCTTCTCTCAGCACCCCTTTCCTTGTTGAAGAGGTTCGACACTTCCTCCAAGTGAGGGAGAGCCTGGTTCTGAACATGGAGAAGGAGAGGGAGATCAGACCCCCCAGGAAGGAGACCTATAGAGCAAGGAGGGAAAGACTAGCCATGGTCTGGGGTCCAGCTGGAGGGTAGCTCCATCCTTGGGGGAGAGGGAAGAGGGAGGCCACCCAGTGCTGCTGAGGAACCACTGTTGGAGCTGCCCTTGGTGGGCACGATCCTGCTCTCAATGTTACAAGCCCCTAGGACTTGCCCCAAACAGGGCCCCTGACATTGGAGATCTGCGGTCTCCTCACACAGACTGTGGGCTAAACTGCCACCCCATTGGCCTAGGGGGGCGGCCCTTCTGGGGGGGATGAATGTCACTCTGGCCTGCTGCAGCATGTCTGTTCATCACTTCTGTGTGTTTACAGGTGTGGCTGGGGTGAGTTCCTTGGGAG